CATTAGCATCAACCTTGAAAAAAGAAAGATAGAGGATATCAACGAGGATATACCAACAGAGAAAAACTCGGCTCCTCCCCCATTTATCTTTCAGCGCATATAACAAACTGACAGAGACAGATTAGCTTCCTATAATTAAACATGTAATGCGATCTGATAAAGCTCTTTCTTGCGGATTTTCTTACCGTCACTGTTCGTGTTTGAGATCAACTGATTTTCTTTTAGCGCATATAGTTATATTTGTTACCAAAAGAAGATAACTAAAGCTCGATGGAAGAAGATCAGGAATAAGTCGATGTCATGATAAAAGCCCAAGATGATGATGATGATGAGCTCTGGCCCACCGGAACATATGACAAAAAGAAGCGAAGAGATCCCGAACCAAGATGCTTCGTACTGCAGAGCGCAAAAGGAGATTTTGAAGTGATATCTTGGGAAGTATATTCCTCTGAGAGAAACGTACCAGTCGTTATCCATCTATCTACATAAGCTGATTCATCATTGGAGAACTTCTCTTTTTTTTTCTTCTTCTTTTTAATACTGAGATTAATAGATGAGCGTACCCTACCAAGGGAAGCAAAAAGAAACTTGACATGTCCTAATTAACTCATCACTTTAGCCCAGCTATTCATCAGCAGTGATCGCCATGTTCACCGTCCTGCTGCCCCCGATCGAGCTCTTGACACCGAACCACCTCCCAATCATTGCCCCCCTTCACTTTCCTAACAGTAACTAGCGTGACTAAAACAGATAATGCCGCTGTCATAAATTCTCCTTTTCGTCTTTAAATTTTATTATTATTATTATTATTGACAGGAAGATGCCGCTCCTGATTCCTGAATAATTGCGCCAGAGTTCATTCTAGAGCCTTTTTGTGAGAAAGGCCCCGGCGGATCTCTCAACACGTCCTCGGATAACAAATCGAATCGACGTATAAATAATGATTGCCCTTTGTAAACCGTTTGATAATTTTATATATATATATATATATCATGGTTGTTGAGAACCTCTTGACTTTTCTGCCGGATTTCCGAACAAAGCTATCCAAGTTCCCAGCATGCTTTCAGAAAGTCCCTCCACTCAGGAGGTTGTTCTGTTCATTTCTTTTTTTAATGAAACACTAGCGATGAGCATGGTTCGGTCCAAATCGGAAAAAAAGATCGAACCGACCCGAACCGATCCGAAAAATTCGGTTTTATGAATAGGGCGGTTCGAGTCGGTTTGAAAACTTTTCAACCCGAACCGATCCGAACCGACCGAATATAGTGCAATACTACTCATTATGATCTCAAACCCTACCCGACCCGTCCCCAAAGAGTTAAAGACTCAAACCCTAAACTTATTTTTTGAATCATTATGAGTTGTAAACAATATCATTATATCAGTGTTTAATGCTTCATAATCTCCTACTTTGTTGATATCTTTTTTCTTTAACACAATTTGTTGTTTGATAAGAAGTTTGATGAAGTTAGAACCGAACAAACCGAACCGAACCGTACCGCACCGACTTCCAACAGTTCGGTTCGGTTTTGAATTATAGACGGTTCGGTTCGGTTGTTCAAATTTTGATAAAAACCGAACCGAACCGACCGTTGCACACTCCTATGAAACACTGGAGAATTAGGCTTCACATTATATCCCCCCAAAAAAAGTTTTCACATTGTTCAGCCAATAGTTTCATTTAAGCTTCGTAACCTCCTCATGCACTTTCAATTAATTTCTTTTAATAAGTGTCCCCATTTTAATTTCCCACCAACCACGCTTCGTTAGTACCTATACCGCTTCGAAATGGGTACTGATGTGACCACGAGAGACAGCACATTAAATAAAGGGTAGGGTGCAGGGACACGACTGCATTGGAATTAATAGTTTACATGAGATCAATATCCTCTTTTTCCTTCTCATGCTATGAGAATTAAGATTCTTATAATATTTTTATGTTTCTTTTATTATATAGAATATAAATTGAAAAAACTGCTCATTTTTAACTAGACGTCTAAACGACCCTTCTGAACTGGGTATGAAACTGAAATGAACCTCTTCCATGTCTAATAAGTTCCAAGAGATGGATGTAAAGTGTAGGATATATATCCCAGAAGGTATGACAAGTGTATTATATGACTGAACACAGCCTAAATGAATGTATAAAGTATGTTCAAGAAGTAGTGATGTTCGGTATGGTAAGACACATGTTAGGGGGTACAGCTTCATGATAGAAGTACCCACGCAATATAGGTTTTTTTTTATAGACTTACACTATCATATCTTCTGGAAAGAAACATCATATCCTTTCGCATCAATTAGACTCAAAAGAATACTATAACAGTGAGGAGGGGGAAGTAGCAAGAAATACTACAGTAGTGGAGGCATTCAGCTAATCTAACTGACGAGGTGGCATCATGCAGGGCAGTACCCAGAACAAGGCCCTAGTTTGTCATGATAGGCTGCATCAACAAGTGTACAAAGTAAATTGCAGATTTTCCCAAACTAATCATGTTATATATATTTAGGACGCTATAACTTCAACGCATAAAGGATACATGCAGTGTCGGTAAATCAATGAATGTACAAACATACAATGCACTAAAGCACTTTATGATGCAAAAAAAAAAAAAATGCTCCAATGACAACTCATCAAAGGTAAGGTTGAAAGAACTCTAGCTTCTTTCATTCACCCTTCTCTCATGTAATCGAGTAACAAGTGAATCATCTTCAAACTTCCAGATTGATTTCTTCTCATGATCCAATGTGAATAGCACCATGTATAGATTTAAATGAACATGAATAATTGGCTACCTATTTTTTGTTTACTGAATGTGTATATATGTATCAGGTATCCATTTAAAATAGAGTTTTTATATGGAAACCATCTTTAAAATAAGAGTGTAATACATGAACCACATTTACTGTTTAATTTATACAGAAACCATCTTTAAAGTATATTTCATTTCAAGCAACCACCAAAACTCATTTCCTGTTGTCTTTTTTATCAAAATTCCTTTAATACCCCTATTTTGCTGTCCCTTCCCTTCCTCCCCCTCTTGTTCTCTCCTCTCCATCTTCTTCTACCTCTAGATTTATGGCTCTCTCCCCTTCCCTCCCTCTTGTTCTCCCCTCTCATCTTCTTCCACCTCTAGAT